ACAACATTCCTTCAGATAAGATTGAGGTCTTCTGTTCATTTTCTGAGTTCTGTGCTGGTTTATTGTCTGCCTGAGTTTGCATGGGACTTATGAATGCTGATACCATTCTTATAGAATCAATCATACGAGCAGGTTTCCAGGAGCTTGTAGGACTCTGTTTCTATATGATCATGCACCTCCTCCCTGGCTCTTAAATCTTTCTGCCCCCTGTTCTGTGATGGTCTCTGAGCCTTGGGTGGGATGGTTAACTGGGCTAAGGGTCTGTCTATGTTTAACCTTTCAAAGAACCAGCTCTTAGATTCTTTAATTTTTTTTTTTTTTTGGTATTGTTTTCTTTGTTTGTATTTCACTAATTTCTGTTCTGAGTTTTGTTCTTTCTTCTGTCTCCTAGGTTTGGGGTTGGTTTATTTTAGCCTCTCCAGAGTCTTGAGTTTTACTGTCAAGTAATTTACATGTGCTCTTACTAATTTTTTTTTTTTAATGTAGGCACTAAGAGCTATAAACTTCCCTCTTAGGACTGCTTTTAGAGTGTCCCAGAGGTTTTGTTGTGTTGTGTTCTTGTTTTCATTTTGTTCCAGGAATACTTTTATTTCTTTCTTAATTTCTTCTTTGACTCCTTCATGATTCAGGAATCTGTTGTTTAATCTCCATGAGTTTGTGTATTTTCTAGAGCTTCTTTTGCTGTTGATTATAAGCTTTATTGCACTGTGGTCTGATAGAAGGCATGGAATTATTTCAGTTATTTTATATTTGTTGAGATTTGTTTTGTCCCAGAATGTGGTCAATTTTAGAATAACTTGCATGAGCTGCTGAGTAGAAAGTGTATTCTTTGGTGATTGGGTGGAATATTCTATATATATCTGTTAGGTCCATTTCATATAGTATATCATTTAATTCAGATGTGTCTCTGTTTATTCTTTGTCCAGTTGATCTGTCTATTGAAGAAAGTGGGGTATTAAAGTCACCCACTATCACTGAGTTAGTGTCAAAATCTGTTTTTTATGGTCCTGAACTACTGATTTTATGAATTGGCTGCTCCAGAGTTTGGTGCATAAATGTTCATGATTGTAATATCTTCTTGGTCAGTTGTTCCTTTGATTAGAATGAAGTAACCCTCCTTCTCTCTTCTGATGAGTTTTAATTTGAAGTCTTATTTTGTCAGATATTAAAATTGTGACATCTGCCTACTACTTAGGGCTATTTGCTTGGAATGTTTTTTTCTATCCTTTCACCCTAAAGTAGTGTCTGTCCTTGAAGGTGAGATGAGTTTCTTGAAGAAAACAAAAAGATGGATTTTCTTTATTGAGCCATTGCACCAGCTGTGTCTTTGACAGGGGATTTGAGGCCATTGATATTTAGAGTTATTATTGAAAGGTGTGTATTGTATACTGTCATTTTAATTTCTTTGTGTTTGTGGCCCTATTTCATGTTTCAATTGTTATACTTTTATTTTCTTTCTGTAGTCTCTTGGACATACTCAGTCCTTTCTTTGGTCCTTTGTATTGCTTCAAGTATTCTCTGTAGTGCTGGTTTGGTGGACATGAATTCTTTCAGCCTATTTGTGCCATGGAAAATTTTCTGTTCCCCTTTGACCTTGATAGGTATTTTGGTGGTATAAAGTATTCAGGGTTGGCATCCATGGTTGTTTAGAACTGGGAATACTTTACTCCAGGCTCTTCTGGCTTTCATAGTTTGCATTGAAAAGTCAGCCGTAATTCTGATGGGTTTTCCTTTATATGTAACTTGTTTTTTCTCTAGCAGCTTTCAGTACCCTCTCTTTGTTAATGTTTTTACTATGCTATGTCATGGGGACTTTGTGTTCTGATCATGTCTTAATGGTGTGTCTCTATAGGTATATCTTTCCTTGATTTAAGGAAGTTTTCTTCTGTAATCCTATTGAAGATCTGTTTGATGCCATTGGTTTGAGTTTCTTCTGCCTGTATGCCTATAATACGTAGATTTGGTCGTTTCAAGTTGTCCCACATTTCCTGAGTATTCCATTTCGGTGTTTCTTTGAATTTTGCACAGTCTTTACTTAAGGAGTCCAGATCTTCAACTTTATCTCCAGTCGTGATACTCTTGTTTTCCATTTCATTCATTCTGCTTGTGAGACTTTCTCCTCTTGTTTCTAATTGATTTATTGAGTTTTTCAGTCCTGTGTTCATTTCAATTTGGGTTTTCTTCACTATTTCTGTCTTTTTAGTGAATTTGATTTTCAAGTTATAAATTGTTTTTGATATTTCATTAAGCCACATATTTGTGTGTTCTTGGGCTTCCGTCAAAAATTTATGCCTTTCCTCTTTGAGTTCTTTGAGTCTTTTGGCTAGGTTTCCTGGAAGTTCTTTGATCTCTTAAATTCTGCGTCCTGGGGTTCTACATAGTGGTTCCCAATGCTGTGCACTTCTGTAGGACTTAGGGGTTTTGTTAGAGACGTATTTTCCTGGTTTTTCATATTGTTTGTGTTTTTGCATTGCTATTTGGGCATATGGATGTTCTTTGTTGGTTATGTGTTCAGCAGGAACTTCTACTCTGCTTTTGTTAATTTAATTTTGGTTCTGTTAATATTGCTTATGTAATTGAGTTACTTTTGTTTTAGGTATGGAAGAAAAATTGGTGGATATTTCAAGTTCTTGCTGAGTAGTGGGCTGGTTAGAGTCCTGACTGAGCAGGGTCTGTCTGCCTGGTTGGGACCCTGGGAAGTTGGTAGTAAGCAAATCTCCTGCGGGGACAGTAAGGGAAGTGTGCAAAGGCAAGTTGGGGGTGGGGGCAGGCTGTGTTCTCTAGGGAAGTAGAATGAAGAATTGGATTGGTCTGGGTGCAGAGGATCAGGAAGCAGTGTGGGAATCTTGGCCAAGAGGATAGTCCAGAGGTCTGGGGTGCCAAATTAAGAAGTGGGCCTGTGCCCAGGGCTAGAAGGAGAGCCTTTTATTATTATTATTATTATTATCATTTTTATTATTATCATTTTTATTATTATTGTTATTATTTCCTGTGTATGAGAGTATGGCCTGCATATATGTAAGTGCACCTTTGTCATGCAGTGCCTCCAGGGGCAAGAAACAGGCATTGGATACCCTGGAACTGGAGTTATGGATAGTTGTTAGCTGCCATGTGGGTGCTGGGAATTAAACCTGGCTCCTCTGCAAGAACTCCTCTTCATCACTGAGCCATCATCTCTCCAGCCCAGCCTATATATATGTGGTTTTTTTTTAAACTCCATTTTTAGGAAGATAATTTGCTTGTACTTATTTTCTTGGCCAGTATAGCCTAGAGGCCTAGCCCTCACTACCTGTGTACTTTTAGTGAGCAGAAGGAGTGGGACAGGCAGGTAGACAACAGTTCTGTGAGTATATCAGCCATTAGTCACAGCTGTGGTCACCTCCAGAGCCTCCTTGGGTACAAACACCTGTTGACCAGTTCGCCTCTGTTGCATACCAGCAGCTGGGGAGCCACATCCCTACCTTAAGCCTTCCAGGACTTCTAGTTTCATGTACTGGTAGCATTTTGTGTGTGCTGTTTATTTTCTGTCTCTTGATCATTTTTTGTCTTGAAACTTGAAATTTCTTGCTTATTTATTACAGTTACCTGTGTTTATTAGTCTGACTCAGCCAGTGGCTTTATGGAGTCTGTATATTTTTGTTGTCTTTTCACTGACACTGCTTGCAGTTAGTTTCTGTGCTCTGTAGCAAATTGATACTAAAGCATATGCATTTTTCTTCTGGTCCGTTTTCTTTTTCTTACATTTATTGCTTTTTTTTGCGGGTGTGGGGGAGAAACAGAGAGAGACAGAACAGAGACAGAACATAATATATGTACATGTGTGCATGAGCGTTTATGCTTGTATATGTGCAGGTATATGTGCTTGTGTGTGTGCAGAGGCCTGAACAAGGTTTTGGGTGTCCTCTTCTATCATTCTTCACCTGTTTGAGGCAGGGTCTCTCCCTGAATCCGGAGCTCATGTTTTCTCAGCTAGCTTGGGAGCTAGCAAGTTCCTGTGACCCTTCTGTCTCCAGCTCCCTTGTTTACAAGTGTGTTCAGGACACCTGGTTTGTTATGTGGGTGTGGGGGTCTGAACTCTAGTCCTCGTGATTATGCAAGTGCTCTTAACTGCTAAGCCATCTCTCTACCCTCCCATATGTCATTTTTATACTTTTTAAATTGCTGGGCTCTTCACTGGCCCCTGGCCCAACTGAGTTGCTATGTGGCCACTTTCCTATCTTGATGTGCTATCAGCTTGGTGCTGTGCAGTGCACAGCTTCTGTACTTGGAGGCCTCTTGCCTTTGGCTCCTTGTCTCTACCCTGTCCCAGCTGCGAAAGGGGATGACTTCCCCAGATTCACCATAGGGAGATGTCTGCTTTTTGTCTCCACAGATGTTTGTGGTAATTATGGCTCCTCTGTTCCTTTGTCTCCTATATAGAGGCTGCCCATCTTCATGTCAGTGGACCCATTGACTCTTGGGAATTCTCTGCCACTGACAACTGGCCTAGGCCAATGACCCTTGGATTAAGGGGCTCTGGCTGGGATGTTTCTCTTGTAAACTAAGCTACACCAGATTTCTGGGCTCTGTGGCTACTGCTTAGGGAAGCCCTGGGGAGCCCATGGTAGCCACCAATGCCCAGGGCAGCTGGCACTATCTGTCACCTGACCTGAAGTGCTGAGACACCAAAGCCTCTGTTTTCTGTAAGCAGAACCTTTGCCTGGTAACTAATTTCATTGTGAATGATGAAGTATAGAACTTTTATTTTAAATTATTATTTGTGAGATGAATCCCATGAATTTGCCCCTTCATTCCCCTGGTATCTGAGCATTATATATATACATATATAATGTCTATATAATACATGATAAAGGAAAAAAATAATTTCATCTTTAATCACCCTCTTCTTCACCATTTTGTTTTTATCAAATGTAATCATAAAAGTTATAATGGAATTTTCCAGTGGTCACTTATTTTTAACTAAGTTGTTTTAACTGAGATTCAGCACTTTTTCTCAACAGCTGAAAGGCCAAGTCTTATCCCTGAGTCAGGAGATAGAAGAGTGCCGGGCTGAGCTTGAGAGGCTGCAGCAGAGGCGTGAGAGGGAGAACCAGGAGGGTACCACTCTGATCTGCATGCTCAGGACTGATGTGGACCTGTCTCAGAGTGAAGGGTCAGTGCCTTCCTGTCACATTGCTGCTTGACTTGAAAGATCACTGCTGCATCTTTCCAGCCCATTGTATTTGCTGTCAGGTTGCTGTACATGTTGACCTCTAGGGGCAGGAGACACTAGCCATGTCATCCCAGGTCTTAAAAGGCTTAACATTAATCATCTGCATACTTGCCACTTTGTCATATCTTTACATTTTGCCAAACAGCAAAGTCCATTGTTTTCTTTCAAAGTAGTGTTGTGTTCCCTACAACGCTACCCCCTCCCACCTAGAAGCATTTTCCTACTTGATACCTTATAGATCTTTCCTATGTTGACTCAGCATCAGGGTCAGAGAACACAGTGACCTTTGGGACATTATCTTGGGACTTTGGACCCTGCCTGGCACATGTAGATTGGTGGGTAGCATTTTGCAAAGGGCCTAGAGAATTCCCAAGGCCAAGAGTGGCTTTGATGACTGTTACTTCCTATCTTAGGAAAGCACTCCGAGATGCTCTGAGGAGGCTGCTTGGTTTGTTTGGAGAAACTCTGAAAACAGCTGTCACTCTGAAGAGCCGGATCAGTGAACGTGTGGGACTCCTCCTGGACCGTGTTGGTGCTGCAGATACAAGCCAGACGCCAGTAGCAGGTACAAGCACCAAGATGGGTTGCCTGGGGGGCTCTTGGTGCTGGGAAAGATCCTGCTATGTTGGGAATGCCCTCAGGAGTTTTGTTCCCTGTCATTTCCCACGCTCTGGGAAGGCAAGGATCAGGCCTGAGCACAAATGTCTGGTTCTGAGGGATGTTTGCTGTTTGCTAAAGAGGTGGATGGGGTCGGGGGCAGTTAGCGAGTCCTAAAGTATGTGGCTGGGTGGGTGAGTTCACTGAGTAGGGAAGTGGGTATCTGTATTTGTTTATCTTGTAGCTCCAGCCTCTGACGATATGTGGTCTGACAATACTCTACTAGAGGTAGACAGAACTTTACCTGAAGGGGCAGAGATGTCTTCGGTGTCCGAAATTAGCAGTCATGTATGTGAAAGCTTTTTTATGAGCCCTGAAAGCACACTAGAATGTGAACAGCCGATTAGGAGAGTATACCAGAGCCTCGGCATGGCTGTGAATGGCCTTCTGGAGATGGCCCTGGACTCCTCCAAACAGGTGAGACCCAAGGCCCATCACAGAGGAGGGTGTTGTTACCATGTTTTTCGGGCAGTCACCTGTGAGCCATCACTGCAATGTTTCTAACTCTCTGCCAAACCCTGTAATATACAAAGATTACCTTCATTTTTCAGGCAGATCTGAGTTCATGGGTGCTTCCGGCTCCCTTTTTCCACTAGGTGTTCAGAGGCACAAACTGCTGACCTTTCTGGATGCCATTTGCCTTCCTTTGGTCTTGATTCTGATCTCTGTTACTGCTCCCATATAATGCTTCTTCTTTAGTCAAAGTTTTTTCTGAACCAGACTTTTTAAGGAAGCATTTGCTAAAACTAACAGCTTAATTTATGGTCTTTGTAATTGAGTTAAAACATGTGTCTAGCTGGGCATGGTGGCGCACGCCTTTAATCCCAGCACTCGGGAGGCAGAGGCAGGCGGATCTCTGTGAGTTCAAGGCCAGCCTGGCCTACATATGAGTTCCAGGACAGCTGGTGCTACAGGGAGACCCTGTCTCAAAAGACCAAAAACAAAACAAAAAAACATATGTCTAGTCTCAGGATGTAGTTCAATTGGTAGATTGCTTCCTTTGCATGCACAAAGCCCTGGGTTTGATACTCCGCATTGTGTAAACTGGGAATGTCATGCCTGTAATCCTGGCGCTTAGGAAATAGAAGCAGGAGGATCAGGAGTTCAGGGTTATCTTCTGCTTCATACTGAGTTTGAGGCCACCCTAGGCTATATAAGATCGTCAGAAAAACAAAACAAGTAGGGCAGTAGGGGAGGGGGTCTAAATACCATCAAACTATATTGTATGAAAATTGCAAAAATTTAATTAAAGGAAAAAAATCTGCATATCCACTTTTTCCACATTACTTCGTGCATTATTATAACTGCACACCACTGTTTTTATATGTGGACATCATCATTAAGAAATGGGATATTTTGTTAACCCTCTTAGAAACTTTTGAATAATTGTAGAAAATAATGAAAGTTCCCCCCCACCCCCACCCCAAAGTTAGTGGTTAACAAAGTAAACATTTCTTTGAAACATTGCTATTGAGACAATTTTCTCTCTTGGGTATTGAGATTTAGAATCTCCCTTTCTTGCTTCTTCCCCACCTGCCTTTTTCTTTAGCTCAGTTTTTTAGTGGATCATCTTAGGAACTGACACACTGTCTGAAATCTTACCTGTAATCAGGTGCTTTGGATGGACCCCATTTGTAGCTATGGAAACCATACTTCCTGTGAGCATCTAATGACCAGTAGGACCAAACTCTGCAGCGAAGGGGTCCTGGCAGGCACCACTCTGGCTACCAAGGGCTTACTGTTTTCATTGAACATCTTTCCCTATAGAGAATGTTTGGGAAGCTATTAGGGTCCGGCCCTCCCTATTATGGAGGGCTAAGAGCCTTGAAGGAGGCACTGTAACTCTCTGAAGCTGATGCAAGGTTGGGGCAGGAGACTGTAGAGGAGATTGAGACCTTCCTCCAACCATGTTTGACCCTTGGCTGCAGGTAGGGTACAAAAGCAGGAGGAGATGGCCTGGTAGGGGAATGAAAGGGGTGGACACATAAGAGATGGCCTCTGGACCATTTTCAAGGAAGAAGCAGAATATCTTAGAGGCCAGTGGACATCTTGAGCCCCAAGAAAGGCCAGAGTTGTGCTAATTACTGTGGAGCTGAGAGGCCTGGACCTGGGTGCTGTATTGTCTGCAGTAGATAATGGAGTGATGGTCTTTTGTGTTCAGAAGTATGTTCAGACCTGTAGATGGCCTGGAAGCCACAGACTAGACACAAAAGCTAGGAGTTAGAAACTCTGAGCCAGGAGGTAGATAGATTGCAGAGGAGGCTGAGGAGGAACTCACTGTCAGCCATGTGGGAACTACTCTTATTACATGGCACTATTGTAGTGAGTGCTGGAATACACCCAGTGCCACCTTCTAGCCCTGCTGGTGATGACCCAGGAGTACTGGCCTAGTGGACTTCTGCTGGTATTAATGTTAGCTTTTCTTTTCCTCTCCCCTTCTCTCCCTTCCCTCTCATCTCATTCCTTCCCTTTCTTCTCCTCTCCCTCTTCCTCTTCTTGGCCTCCATCCACCCCCCCTATTTTTGATACGTAGTTCTGATTCCCAAATGTGTTTCAACAGCTAGAGGAAGCACGCCAGCTCCACTGTCGTGTCGAGAAAGAGTTCCGTCATAAGAATGAGGAGATGGCACAAACTCTGCAGAAGCAGCAAGAGCTGCTGGAACATCTGATGGAAGAAAATACAGCCAAGGCTGAGCTGGCACTGGAGTTACACACAGCTGAGGGTGAGTGGCACACTATGTACGTCCTGCTTCGGCATGCCATCGGCATAGAAAGAGGTATGTTCTTTCTGAAGGAAGCATGATAAGCAGTATCTTTAGCAGCAAGATGTCTAAACAGACTGTCAATGTGAGGTGCCAGCTGTGTTCTCCAGTGAACATTTCATTTGGTGAGCAGCATTGGCTCAGGGAACCTGGGTTGGTGGCAGGTGTTCCTGTAGACTGTAGAGGGTCCTGTAATGACTGTTGTCACTGAGCTCTCTTGCTCTGTGGACCAAAGTCCTGAGAATGTCTCAGAGCACCTCATCTTTCAGCAGTCATTGGTGCTCTTTTTCAGGCCTCCTTGAAGGATTCAAGGTGGAGAAAGCAGATCTGCAGGAGGCACTGGGCCAAAAGGAAGAGTCAGAGCAACAGCTAGTCCTGGAGTTAGAGAACCTGCGGCAGCAGCTGCAACAAGCAGCCCAGGAGTTGGTTACCCTGAGGGAGGAGAATTCTATCTTGTGGAACCAGAAGGAAACTTTCACTAATGAAGCAGAAGCAAGAGAAGCTGGTGAGAAATGTGGATGATGGAAGACTAAGTGGGGTAGAGAAATGCAACAGCTGATCCTAGCTAGCATGGAAGCTTGATCTTTCAAGAGATGGAAACACAGAAAGCAAGGAGGCACGTCTGTGAGAGTCTGTGCTTGTGCAGAATGTTTCATGGGAAGCAAAGGCCATGGGAAGAACAACTGGGTAGTATGCAGCATCCAGTTGCTCTGCAGTGGTCCAGAAGGGGATGGTCTTCATGGCTGGCATTGCTAACAAGTACCCTGTACCTCTAGGGAAGGAAACCCTCTGGAGCAGCAGATTAAAGTACCAAGCCCTGGAAAATGAACTGTCCTAAAATTGTACTGAAACTAAGCGTCTAGTGTTAGTTCTGTTAACAAAAGTGGTTCACTTATGTTAGTCAGCTTTGTGTTACCTGAGATTAACAATTTAAAGGAGGAAACATTTATTTTGGCTCATGGTGTTAGAAGTTTCAGACCATGGTTGCTTGGCTCACTTGGTTTTAGGCCTGTAGAGAGGCAGCACATCATGGTGGCAGTATACAGCAGAGGAAAGCTATTCATTTTGTGGCAGCCAGAGAGGAAAGAGAGTTCTCGCTTTTATAAGGAAGCTCCCACTTCCAGACCAGTAAGCTCTGAATCTACCAGTGGATTCATTCACTTATAGGGTCATAGCTTTATGATCTAGTTACCTCCTAGAGACCCCAGCTGAGAACATTGCTGTATTGAGGGTCATACCTTTCAACATAAAGAGCCATTGTTGTGGGGGAACGACAGCTAAGATTCAAACCAAAATAATATATTTTCAGATTTTTTTTTTCTTTTTCTTTTGGAGACAGGGTCTTGTGTTGCCCAAGCTGGCCTAGAACTAGCTGGCTTCTTGTTCAGCTTCCTGAGTGCTAGGATTATAGATGTATACCATCATGTCTGGCCAATTTTCAGAAGGAAAATGGCTAAAACAAGAAACTTGCACTGTTGTATTAAAGATTATATTGACTTGTCCGAAACACTTCTACCTCTGTCCATGCCTTGCCCCTTATAGTTTTTTCCCTTTGTGTCTTTTTTTATTCCTTTATTTTTAGTCTTCCTTCTGTAAAGGGTCATAGCTGGGCATGCATGATGCTAGACCCATTCTTATCCTTGACACCTGAGGCCATAGACATCACCTCACTTTGGTTTGTAGGTTTTTCAGAAACCCTCATGGTACCTTCCATGTCCCTGTTTTGTATCGGGGAGGGGTTCTCTAACTGCAGCCTATTCAGTCTAAGGTCTTACTTTTTGTTACATCTCTTTTTCTGTTTTAGAACAATCTTCAAGGGCCGACCCTTCCTTGTACATACCCTGTTTCCACATCCAGTACTGTGTCCCTTCCCTGGGCACCTTGCATTTTGTTAACATGATGCAGCAGATAGAGGCACAGAGCCTGTGGACTATTTTGCAGCCTCTCCCCACCTCTTTGTCTCTGACTGTCCCCTCAGTGTTATCTGGTATACTGGGCAGCACCATGGTTGATCCGGGCTGGGCTGGACCTATGAATTCCAGGCAGAGACACAGGCTGAGGTTGGACCACTACAGGGATACCTCTCAGCCTTCAGGAAACCTTTCCTCCATTGCATTTTGTCACTCACAAGCCCTTATCATTTCTTTGGGGTCTTCTTGGCTGGATTCTGTTTTGAAATTGTTTGGGCAGCTTTAGTATTCACTCTTATCTCTATCTCTCTTCACTAAGGCTTTAGTTCCACCGGCTTCCTGGTGAGTTCCCAAGTTTTCTGGGGTCCTGTGACTATGGAACAGCTTCCCAGGGATCTTGGGAGCTCAGTTCTGTCTTGCTTCCCTTGGGTATACACTTCTGTAGCTGTGTGATACGTTTGTGGCCACCTTTGGAGGTAGTGCCATCTTTATTGTTTTTTTTGTTTCCTTTAAAATAAACCCCTGAACCCCTGGGTGCTAGACCCTTTACCTGAGTGCAGCTATTGATGTCAGATGTGTGTGCTCTAGATGTTTCCTGGAATGCTGCTGAGTTTTGCTTGTTCTCCCATTCGTGGTTCAGGCTTTGTTTCTCTCTCTGTGATGCTTTGTTTCCTATTATAGGCACTCCTGTCTCTGCAGCACACAAGGACTCAGGTTTGTAACAAGTGTGATCTCTTCAGTGATGTGCTGTGTGTTTGCATCAGATTTTGCAAATTACTTACAAGAGGAAAAGTGCTTCAGAGCTTTTGTGGCAAACTATTAAATGAAATGATACTATAATCTTTAATAGTAATTCATAAAAGTTGGCAACATTGTCCCATTCTAATGTCCCAGTGAGATTCACTGGTTTCTCTAATGACTATTGCAGTTAAGTCCTACTTGTGCTGTTTTGCAAGAATTGATGCCTTGTGACCATTGTGGGGTTTGCTGAGCCTGATCTCTGTGCCTTGTCTGACTTCCCGTCAGGTCCTCAGCACAGTACAACTCCATAGCCCCTGTAAGCCATAGCCCTGCACTGCAAGGAAACTGAAGGTAGTGTTATCTGTACTAAGCAAGGAGGCCTGTGTCTTTCTCCATGACTAGGCAGTGCTTAGACACTCTTCCTAAATTAAAGATTGTAAATGACATTGTTACAATTGCATGTTAAAGGACAATTAAAGGACGTGCTAACTTCTTAGCATGGAAATTTGTTGCAGATGTTACATTAATGGTAATTACAGTTTGTTACAAAAGATTGATGGTTTTTGAGTACTGTGAAATGGAAGTAAGAATTTATGGAATTCACATTTCTGTTTTTTGATAATCACCCAGGATTCGTCAGTAGTGAGCACCTTTTTCAAAAGGCTTATTAATATGTAGTCTCAACTTAGATAGGCGCCTCCTCACCCAGTGTCTTACTTCATTAGCTTTGTTAGAATACTTGAGAATTAGTTATTATTTATGTATTTATTTTGTGGTACTGGTGATCAAACCTAGGACTTGTAGCATAGCAGGGAAGCCCTCTACCATACCCCCAGCTCTAGACTGGGTAATTTATAACTATTAGAAATTTGTCTCTGTGGCTTGCCAATCCTAGGTCATGGTGTAGAAAAGTCTGTGCCTGGGAACCCATGGTCTTCTTCCAAGATGGTACCTTGCACACCAGTGGCGTAAAGCTGAAGGGCAAGAGAGAACTTCCCCTCTCTTTTTTTGGCATATTAAACTCACCCTTGAGGGTTTAGCCTCAATCCCTAATCACCTCACAAAGGTCCTCTCTTAAGACCTTAATGTCGGCAATTAAATTTCAACCATCATTTAGTAGGGAACAGATATTCAAGCCAATTGGGTTTTGATTTACTAATTGCTATTTGTTTTGTCCAAGATAAAGTATAGCCCTGAGCATTGTGCCTCCAAAGCCACTGTCTCCCTTCCTCACTAAGCTGTGCATGTAAAGTGGAGGCTTTAAGTTATGCTGACATTTTCCACATTGGAGAGCACGTATGTAGACAGAATTTCCAGAAAATCATGATGTATCACTGAGGTGTCAGGACATATTCTTGCTATGCTTTTACATTTGACTCAGAAAACTGATTAAATTTTTAAATGAAAATATTAAAAGATGTATTTTTTTGTTTTCAGAAACAATCTGTCTATTTTCAGAGCGTATCTGACAAAGTCATTGATGTGTTAGGATATGGGCTTAAAGTCCAAGAGGCAGGCTGGCTCCAGCTTCCTTGGTCACAAGCATGCAAAAGGAAAGGTTTTGGAAAAGGGATGAAATCTGCCTGTTTCATGGGGACCATGCTTGAGTCTCACTCTCTTGGGCAGCTGAGTGTCATGACTGCTCTGTCCTAAATAGGCCCCTATCAGTCCGGTTTGGGTTCCTATGAGCAGCTGGTGAAGGCTTGACATCGATGTCACTATTGATGTTTCAGGAGCCCTGTTTGGTGCAGTCCATGCGCTGAGGTGGGACTCCATGTTTGTTTTCTTGGCACCCTTAGCACTACGGAAGGAAGTGGAATCTCTAACCAGAGACCAGTGGGAGACCAAGAAGCAGTCTGAGAAGGACCGTGCCACTCTGCTCTCTCAAATGCACATCTTAGAGTCTGAGTTGGAGGAACAACTTTTGCAGCACCAGGGCTGTGGCAAGCTGGCTGAGGAAGTGACTACCCTGAAGCAGCAACTGGCTGCCCTAGACAAGCATTTGCGTAGCCAGCGTCAGTTCATGGATGTAAGAAGTTTAAATAATAAATGTAATTTTCCCATCCCTAAAACTTACTAGAGCATGAACAGCTTTAATTCAGTGATGTTGCAGATTAGCCTGCCACATGAAATCTACACAGATTCCCTTTTGTAGATGGCTTTGTTGCCCTAACTCTGTCGGGTATTTGTATCTTGCCCACGTTTTGTAGATGATTCTGAGTGAATATTCTGGCATCTTGTTGGCCATTATTCCCTCTTAACGGTCTTGGGAGAAATATCTTACAGTCTAGTTGTTGTCTTGCATCCTGGGAGGCGTGTGTGGTCTATTCCTATTTGTTCTTACTATGGATTCCTGCCCACACATTTCAAAATGCTGTGAGTATGTCAGGGTTTCCTTTGCATATCAACTTTAGAGCTGCTTCTCTTAACTCTGTTTTACAAAAGTGATCATGGCAAGGGGGACCTTACTTGATTGGCAGACATGGGTAATGCTTAGTTGGGAGCCCTATTCCTCATTTCTATCATAGATTCCACTATGGTATGGTCCTACCATGCAGCCTCTTGTTGTAGGAGCAGGCGGCTGAGCGTGAGCACGAACGTGATGAGTTCCAGCAGGAGATTCAGAGGTTGGAGGGGCAGCTTCGTCAAACATCCAGGCCACGGCCTCCTGGTCCCCATGATAGCCAGGTAGGCTAGCCTGCTGTGTTCTGTGTGCCTGTGGGTCACTGATTGCTACAGTATTTTTAAGCTTTATTTTCCTTTGTATTTTGCCTTCTGTGGATGTGGAAATGACAGTGTGCACAGCTGGATGAGGCGGTAAGATGGAGGACACCGCCTTTGCCTTTTTCCTTTTTGTGCAACTTGTGCTTGCTACTTCCTAGCACAGTTTTTCCTCACCCTGCATGGTGTATGGGGGGGGTGGTATGTGCATTGCCCGGTTGCCCTTGGTGCTATGGAGGTCTGTAAGCTCTTGTCTGAGGTGGTCTTAGTTGATTTACTTATTCTTTTTTAAAATTAAAACTTATTTTGAGGAAAGAATGAATTCCCATGTAGTTGTGAGGAGTAAGATTCAGATCTTTGTTGAGCTAGAGTTCAGCTTTCCAATTTGGTTTCTCAAGGTTGCAATGTGACCCTCCTGCTGCCCTTATATACCACACCCTTCCTGATTCCTGGAGCCACTACTCTGCCCTCTTTTTCTGTGACTTTTTTTATTTCCATAATGTTGCATTTTAAATCTAAAACAAAAACAACAGTAGTCAGTCTGGAAAGGAAGCTGACATACAATTAATAATTCTCTTTACTAAAACGAAAGGGCCTCAAGGTGGAAGGGAGAACATTAGACAGAGATAGTACAATATGTGGAGATCTCAACATAATGAGGATTCAAAGGGAAGGAGAGGGAGAAGAAGGAGAGAGAGAGAGAGAGAGAGAGAGAGAGAGAGAGAGGCAGGCACAGAGGCCTCTTCTAGTCTTCAGAGAAATCTCCTTGAGCAGTCCCCCTAAACAGTCTCCTAGACCAAGCCCCCATAAGAAAGATCTGATTTTTTATTTTTAATATTCAACTTTAAATTTTTTTTTATTTTTAATTTGTTTTTATTGAATTTTTTGTATTTCATACAGAATATCTCAATCAATCTTAATCATCTTTATACTCCCTTCCCTACCTTCCCGTAGCCCCCCTACTGTAATTCATACATTCTGTCATTTGTGTTAAGGTCTATTAGTCAAGTTAGTATCCCCGGACATTCATCAGTACAAGTTCATTTACTGAGGTCTAGTCAGCTTATCTAGAGTCCTTTGCTTTAGGAAGACCAGCTCTTCCTCACCTAACAGTGATCAGTTGCTGATATTTCTTCAGTTAAGATTGGGGTCTGCTGTCCATTTCCCCATGCTGGGTTTTTGTCTGCTTGAATTTGCATGGGACTTGTGTATGCTGACACCATTGTTGTAGAGTCATACAATGCAACCTGTACACCTAAGGATCACGGAATGTAGAACAGGTGTAAAAAGGACACTAATGAGTCTCCCAATCCTCATAAATGAAGCTCCCTCATGCAACAGAGGCCCAGGAACACAAAAGGTCACAAATCACCAAAGTGTGGAGTCTGAAGAATGCTGGTCCTTGGCCAGGACTCCTGTATTAAACTTCACCCACCCAGGGCTTAGGGAGCATTGAGGAAGAGGGGACAGAAAGATTGTAAGACCCAAAGAGGAGGTGCACAACTTTGTATAACTTCTTGGAGATGGTAGGAAGTTTTATATCACATGATTTAGTTCTTGTAATGTACTGTCAAGTCACAGTACACCAGAGGGAGCTGCAGGGAGGCATGGCTTGATGCAGCTTGTGGGATCTCGCCTTTTAGGCTTAGGCTCCTGTTCTAATATCATATACATGGAATTATGTGTTACCTTTTAAGATTGGGTTTTCATTTTTCTTAATTCTCTGGGGTTCACCCAAGTTGTTGTAGACTTTTTTTTTTAACTGCTAAAGTAATGTGTCACTCCTTTCTAAGTTTTTTTTTACTCTAATGCATTTGTATTATATTATTCCTGTTAATGTGCTTGTTAAGAGAGAATGTTCATCTTAAAAATCTGCCCTGGTCTGTCTTTAGGTTTCCTAGTACACTGAGGTTAAAAAAAAAAAAACCAGAGCACTTGTTTCTCTGTTGGTTGTGTTATAGACCTTATATTTGAAAAAAAAAATTTTTTTAACTGCCTACTGTGTTCCTCACACATTTTTGGCTTTGATTTTAGATGGAACTGTTAGAAGAAAAACTGAGAGAAAGGCTAGATGGATTTAATGAATTGGTCATAAAGAAAGATTTTGCAGATCAACAATTGTTAATCCAGGAAGAAGAAATTAAACGTCTTGAGGAGACAAATGTCAACATACAAAGACAAATGGCCCAGCTCCAGGAAGAACTGGAAAAACAGAAAAAAACTGTGAAGGAATTACAAGTAAAGCTCTCATGTCATAGTGGGATGGTGGACAGTGGGGTGTGATGGAGGATGGATTCGTCTCAGGGGTAGGTGTGTCAGGTCCTGGGGAAGAGGTATAACAAAGTAAAGCTCACATGTCATAGTTGGGGTAGTGTACAGCAGGGTACAATGGAGGATGGATTCATCTCAGGGCTGGGTGTGCCATGTTTTGGGAACTGAGGTATAGCGCATGTCTTAGGGGCATGGAATAAGACTGGGAGGGTACTAGTGCTCTGGGATTCTGTAGCTGGCCCTGGCTGCAGGGTAGCATGCAGACTTTGTCAAGATAGAGTTGTCTCTACCTGGGAGCAGTTGTGCCACCTTTTTTAGCTTTTAGTTCAGGAATTGAACTTAGGGCTTTTCATTTGTTTATTGTCATTGGAAGTTATAAAATTGCTTGAAAACTGAGGTTGAAGGAGAAATACTATCCAAGAGTCAGTATCTTGAGTGAAACACAAAATCCTGCTTCAAGTGTGGTGGTGGAGTTTTCATCCATGTGTCTGATTATCAAGTGCTGGTAGGAACTTAACTCCGTAGGACACCGGCACCTGCCTGTCACCACTCCTTGTCTCCTGATTCTTCTGTTTAACTTGAGTCTGCTCAGTTCCTGCCCCAGTCCAGCGACTTCCTGCAGCTTACTTCAGAACTATTTCAAGCTTATTCTGTCACTTGACAAATATTTACTGAGGTTATTAGGTGTCAAGGGATAGAAAATGCTCTTTCTCTCCACATTGGACCATTTACTTGACCTTGCATGTCAGTTTCTTCCTTGCCTAACATTTTGTGAACATTTATACCATGTTAAAGTTCTCTGAAAACTTTCATGCTTAATGTTCAGTGTTTGGATATATTGTCCAGCATGTCTTATTTTTGTCACTTTTCTCGTACTTTTTAAAATTGGTACTAGCCTAGTGAACACTTACATATTGTTAAATAATTACTAGGAGTAAGCCACGTGTGGTGGCGCACACCTTTAATCCCAGCACACGGGAGGCAGAGGCAGGCAGATCTCTGTGAGTTCAAGGCCAGCCTGGTCTACATAGTGAATTCCAGGACAGCTGGGGCTACAGGGAGATCCTGTCTCA